GCCACTCTGTAATGTTACTAATCGCTCGGTTGGCCTTTCTTTCGAGGATTTTTATGTCCTTGTCGACCACCACTATTCCCAGGTCGTCTGCGTAACCAACTACTGTCACTCCTGCCGGTGTTGGTAGCTTTAAAACGTCGTCGTAGTAGAGGTTCCACAATGTGGGACCAATCACTGAGCCTTGTGGCACTCCACGTGAGGCTTCCAGTTCTCTGACTGCTCCTATCTTTAGCATCCGGTCTTCAAGGTAGCTGGCTATCATGTTAGATATGTAAGGCGCAAAGTCTCTGCTTCTCAATTCGGCGAGTATCCCACCCCATGGGGCAGTATTAAATGCATTCTGAACATCTAATGTTATTAGAGCGCAGAATTTCTTTAAACTATGTGGTCTTCGGTTGGCCTCATCTGCGATTTGTTGCACCTTCTTAATGGCGTCAATTGTGGATCTACCTGCCCTGAAGCCGTACTGCTGTTCGTTCAGGTCTCCATTCGTCACTATTTCTGTCTGTAGTCTTCCCAGGATCATTTGTTTCATTAGTTTACCTAGAACATTTAGGACGCATATAGGTCGATACGCCTTGATCTCTTGGTCCGGCTTTTGCTTCTCGATGAGAACCAGCTTTGCTGTTTTCCGTAATAGTGGGAATTCGCCTTTTTGTAGACTGTTGTTTAGTACTTTAAGACATTCTGTTGGGTAGTTCACAACCAGTACTTTGACAACCTCGGGGGGTATCCCATCAGAACCTGCTGCTTTTTTAGCTTTGATTTTTGCCACCGCGTTTTCTAGTTCCTTTGCCGTAAAGAGGGGTATTTCGTCTTCATTTACTGGGATTCTTGCCCATTTAGTTTTTCGAGGTGGTGCCTTCGGAAATGGCTTTAGAACATGCATTGAAATAATACTGATGGATGGCTTGGCTACCTCATATACAATTTCGTCAACTATGGATCGCACAATTGCAGTTACTTCTTCTTTTTCAGTAAAAGTGGATATTGGGTTGGTAAATAAAAGAGCAGTCGCCGAGGTAGACGGTAGATTTATTTGAGTCTCATCATGGTTAGATGTGGACATATCAGCGTAAATTGCCTCCTGGTCGTTTGATTTAGGTATAATACTAGAGTCAATAGTAGTATCAGCTTCCGATTTCTTGATATCATTATTTACTTGTAGTTCTGGATATGGCCTGTCTGTCGCGTATGCTCCAAAATAGTCATCATCTAAAAATATTAGTCTGTTGACTGGCCATAGTCCGGTGCTTGAAAAGCCATTTATAATATTTTTGGGTATAAAACTTTATAGGTAGGGCTCTGACGTCAATTTAGCAATATTATAAATTGTTATTGGTGTTCCTGGGTTAGATAAGATGTAATCGTTATAACTGACTTTACATTTTTGCTTAAAGGGACCACAGACTGCTTTGTCCAGCGGCTGCATCTTATGCGTACAGTGTGGTGGGAAGGATAAAACACTATACCATTATCGCGGGAATAATTAATTGCTTCTACCGACACATGTGTCTCATGGTTATCCATTAATAAAAGTGTAGTATTTTCTGGACTGCTTTGCGTATGGTTTTTTTATGTGTTCTAATAATTTAACAAATAATGTAGTTCTCCTTCATCCAGATTTTGATCCATACCCTACAGCTCCAGTTACAGAGTCATTTAGGAAGTAATTTTTTATTCGAATGCGGGGAAATATGTACATTGGAGGAATTGTGCTACCTGTAGCTGAAATATTACCACAAAATTTAATCAGTGTGCCTCTTTTCCCTGAAACACATTGACCTACAACTCTCTTACCAGTTTCGGTAATTATTCAGAGGTGTTTGTCTTGATAGTTTGTGTGCGAATTTAGAATCTTGCCAAACATCTAACCAATTTAGCATTTTGCATAGAAATATTAATTTTGGATCAAGCTCAGAATCTGAAAAACTTTTTTTTACTAGTGGTTCTTGATAAATATCTCTCTTGTGTTTTCCTTTCAAAGGTGTTTTTACATTTACAATTGACTACCACGTTAATATTATCCTAATAAAATCTGCAGTGTCATGTGAATTGGGGATCTTATTTCCAAACTGCTTTAAAGCTTCCACTATAAACGGGTTAAAAATTTTTAAAGATAATTTAACATTTTGCCTTTCAAAACTTGTGGGAAATAGAGCTTTTAAATTTAATGAATAACCAAATTTTAGTAATTTGTCATGTTCAAGTTCATGGAGTCTTTTTACTGCAGAGAATGAGGCACATTTCTCTTGTCCGGTCTCAAAATCAGGATAAATTAAAGTCTGAGCTGGTTTAGAATTAAGCCAGTTTGTGAAAATACACTTTAAAAGATGCACAGAATCAAATAAAAAAAAATAAAGGCCTTACTGGGTCAATAGGATGTGGTAAAGTAATGCTAAGTTTGTCATAAGGTGAGAAATGAGCCATTGCTTTTCCATTTATAGCGTTATTGTCACTAATGGTACAAAAAACTGTATATCCAATTTCCTCCAAATTTTCAATTATGGTCTTAATAAAAGTAAAAAGCATTTTAGAATCTATTTTTGAGACAAGTGACACGTGAATAACTTCCTTAAAATTTGAGCTCATACTGCATATCATAAATGTGAAAGTGGAGGAAGCTAAAGTGTTATTATTTACAGAAGTTCCTACAGTGTTACCCCCTTTATAGTCTAAGTATGGGTCAATGTGAATTTCTTCAAAAAGTAAAGTGACATATTTGTCTTTTTCTGTCAAACACTGAAAAACATTAGGAGCGTAGGTAAGGAAAGTGTTTCTTTCATCAATATGTGGATCTGTCAGATATTTATTACATACACCCTTTATAGTTTGGGGGTAAAGTAAAATAAGTGGCCCATAATCCCTTAAATATTTGTAATTGTGAGGACTTATAGTATATAAAATAGAACATAATATCATGGTGTCTGGTAAATACCTATATCTTTGCTTTGGAGAAATTAATAAAGTTAACTGTTCGGAAACAAAGTTCAAATTTTTAGTGATTTTGTGTTCACTAGATTCTGAAATAAAAGCTTTTAGATTTTCGATCATATTTATGACAAATTTAATAATTTTTTTTAATTTTTCTGAACTTTGTGGAGTGCCACCTTTGACAGTGTCGTAATCAGTATTGTCACTAGTGGTGTAAGTGTCAATGTCTAAGGGAATAGTTGTACTTGTATCAATAACATTTAAAAGTTGTTTTATTTCTTCCAAACTACTAGAGATAAAGGGAGTCTTTAATGCTGGAGCAATATTATCTATAGTGATACTTATAGATTCACTATACAAAAATGTTTTGACATTAAGCTGTTCATCTATGACTATTGACCAGGATATACAAGGGCCCGGTTTATGTTCTAGTTTGAATAACGTTATGTTATTTTGATTACTAAGTGAAAACCAACCCTTTTGCAAGTCAAAAGTTTTAAACTTGCATGAAAAATCTTGAAAATTTATAAATGAATTTGCTTTTTTATGATCAGAAAAATGTTTTTTGCTCTCTTCGATCGCTTGAAAAAGGTACTGTTCATCAAGGTTTTTAGTTTTTCGTCCCTACTTTTACGAACGGATGCAGTTTGAGTTGTTAAATATTTAGGACAGTTTGGAAAAATCGTAGGAACGCAACCTTCTTTCAATCGGGGTCTTTCTAAATTAGCAGTAACAATCTTACCTGTTTTAGAGTCTTGTTTAGAAATTTTACAAATAATATTACCTTCAGCAAAATGCAGCTCACAGACTTTAGTATTTTTGTTTGGTTGTAAATTATCACGAGGAATAACTTTTAACCATTTTTTTCGCAAATTTTCGTCATTTGGAAACCCGAATACACGCACTTTTGGACCCTTTGAATAATTTCCGCGGCACTCCGGGACACAACACATATAAGGCATCGTTACAAACGTTAAAATCACTCTTTTTACTAAGTAAATCACAAAAAAGTGGTAAAAATGTTGAAAACAATTTTACCTATACCCTTAAAATAGCCAAAACAACTATAACCAGAGATTCTCTGTTATCTCTGACCATACCATAACAGATGTTGTCGTGCGAGGTTGCCACTCCTTAACCGTACATCCAAAACTATACTTAAAGCGTATAGACACAGTTAAATATTAATTTAATTAAGTTATAGAAATTTTTATTTTGCAAAACTAATAATCCAGAAAAGGTAAGTATTGTTTTTCGGTTGATAATGGAACAATGGACTACATTCATTTTATTTATCATGTAGTTGTTATATGTATCTTAGAACAAATAACAATATGGCAACCGCGCATAATATCGCTAAACAGTCGATTTCAAGTAGAATTTCAATGACCTACTAGTAGTGACGTCACACGCATAATTTCTGTGAGTAGTTTGGCCTTTATATTTTAGGAGGTATTGGCTCCACACGATATATTGTAAAGAATACAAAATATCAAAGCACACAGATGTTTCCGCCAATTGAAATATACGTTATGTACTGTAATAATCTAGTCTTTTTTACGTATATCACTTAAAAAATGAGAAATTGCAACATCCACTATTTTACACTCTTACGAATAGGTTAAACAAAAACTTACTTGAGCTCCCTCAATTTTGTTTCTTGAAATAACTTTTTAATTTCATAAAATACCGGCATGAAATTTTGTCAGTCAGCCTTTCACAAGCACTACTACCAACTGTAAAAATAACGAATGGAGTCTGGTTTTGGAAGGCGGTAAATTTGATTTGTCCGGAGGTGCCCCATGTCCGAACGTGCCTCCCTCTACTCTACCCTTAAACATTGGCCCATGTTTTTTGAAACACCCTGTATATTTGTATTTATATTTTTTTGAATAAATTGACAATATATTTTACACAATTTTTATTAGATTATATTGCTGAGCTTAAAAAATATTTATTTCTAAGCGAGTAATGGTGAAATTTTAATCCTTATAATGCGGGACTGAAGTACTAGCTTTTGTGTTTTTGTACCTGCGCCTGCGTTGTATATTTTTTTTATTTTGTAGCAGAATTGCATGTTTCTTGACAGTGATTTATACATAGCTGTAAGCTTGCTGGATCAAGTTTTAGCTAGAATAGCTGTACCAAGAAATATGTACCAGTTAGTAGCAATGGCTTGTATTAGATTATCTAACAAGCTCGGCGAAGATGACATATGGGTGAGTATTTTATGAAATTTTACTAAACACGATTTGGTTGTATATTTGTTTTTTTAAGAGCCCTGACTTACTTAAAACGCCAGACAACATTTTTGCCGAAACTCAACTATCTAAAATGGAATGGAAATTATTCAAGTTATTAGATTTTTCCGTACATACCATAGAACCAAGTGTTTATGTAAATGCATATTTGAAATTGGCGAATCTTGATCCTGAATCGGTGAGTAATATTTTTGTCTACATTAAATTTTTTCATTGACCGTCAAGGTACCATTTCGGAAGGCGCGACATATGACAGACGACAACAGATGCGACGGCAAAGGAGACAGATGTATTTACGTTACGCGACGCGACAACCGCAGATGACAATTTAAACTTATTTGTCTATTTACTTATATTTTGTTTTTCTCTACGAGGTGTAATCAAAAGTAAAGTGAGTTAGATTGTCTGTTCTGGCGTAGTACATTGCGGTCAGTGTATGCGTTTATTTTGGGGTTACTGTGGTCAGTTTTCCAGAGTCGTCGCACCATGGTTGGTGCGGGCTAGTGGCATTGCGGTCACTCTGTTAGTAATTGCTATATATCGATCGATGTTTGGGCATTGCGGTCAGTGCCAACAGAATTGAGAATATAATTTCGTTTCAATTATGGAAAATTTAAAGTTGTGTCAATTATATTTTTTATAATCAATATTTTGACATAAAGAGTTATTAGTATAATAATCTATTTGATTTTACTATTATTTTATTTACGTTTTATTGTTTTTAATTATTTAATACTTATATCTATCTAATTTTATTTTGTTCTAAATTTTACCTTCCAATTTAAAGTTATTAAATCTTTTATTTTTTACCTAATATTTTTTTTGTAACGGTTTCTAAAAGACACCGTTTATCGACACGCTTTTAAAAGAGTAACAAATGTCTATGCAATAGGAAATAAAATTATTCAACACTGTATAAACATTACGCCAAATCATCTCAGAGATACAATATTTTCTTTCTCGAATTTCATTGACTGCGTTTATTAATTTTCCAGGGAAAATATTTCAAGATCCTTTTCTGTCTGGACCATGCCCTTCACGAGTCAAGTTATTCGTCGACGCCTACAAGTCTGGTCGCCTTGGCCGCCATGTCCGTGGCGTCCAAAACCTTCAAAACCCCCGATTTGGAGAAAATAATAAAAGACTTAAAGGATGGATTAAAAGCTGATGAAGTCACATTATGTTCTACTATGGAAAAATTAATAGTGGGTCATATTCACAGGCTTAATCTTTCCAAGGATAGCTTCGACATTTTAATGAAATATAGAAATTGTGCATGGAATCAGGAGAATCAATGAAATTTTTAAGTGTTTTTTTGAATTTTTTTATCTATTAAACTTTATTACATTTTAATTTTGTTTTTAATTTATTTCGTACACTGACGTAGAGTTAATGTAGGCATATATTTTTATGAACTTATAAAATGAAGGTAGAGAAATACAGGGTGGAAAATGGTTAGTAAATTCAGAAATAAATTTCCAAACAAAAAAAATCTGCGTCCTTCGGCAGGACCTATGATCCATGCACATACCCAACTATAGCTTATTTGAAAATGAATGAAAGCAAAAATTGTATGATCCAGAAGGTAAACCCCAATATAATATCATTTCTTTCAGAAAATACTAATCTATTTTAATTCTTGTCTTAAATTTTCTAGTCATTTTAATCAACAAAAATAAGATAAGTATGTAATCTCTACAGGTAAAAAATATTTACAATTCAAGATCAATTTAAGTGGGCCTTAGTTTTCTTAGAAAGGATTAAAATGTCTAATCGGCAGAAAGTATTATGCAGATTGTAACTTATTTAGTTAAGAGTTGGATTTCTGTTTGTATAGTCCTGTAAAATTGTTCTGTAATAATAGGCGATAAAAAGAGATATTGATCAAGTGAATTTGTGCAATAAAAATAGTACAAAGGTCTAATTATACTCCTGTGAAATCAAAGAGCAATTTTACCTTGCATATGAAACTTTTAGTGTTAAATGTACATGACTCTTGTACCAATATTACTGTTCGAAGCATAGTTTCTAAATGTTCAAATATGACCGTAGTTGGAGAAGCAACCATTTATAGACTTTTGAAGCAACGAGAGGATGGTATACAGCAGTATTACAGCAGTACCTAAAACTTTAATTGGGAAAGCCCCATTCAATTAGATGGGATGAAACATGGATAAATGAAGGACATTTTGTAAAAAAAGTGCGGCAAGATAAACAGGCTACAAATGCTCGTCAGGCATTTATAGAAGGTTTGTCCACTGGCTTAGAATTTCCAAATGGTAAAGGTCGCCGTTTAATTATCACTTATATTGGAGGTTTTAAAGAATTTTTTGATAGTAGCTTGTTAGAATTTGTTTCAATATCTATGAAAGACTACTATGAAGAAATGACTGCTGTTTTCGAGGAACATTTCAGTCAAATGATAGATTTATTACCGACCAATTCTTTAATAGTTATGGATAAGATAAAAGGAACCGTTATCTAACACTAAATGGGAAAAGCAAGAACTCTCTGATTGGCTAATAACTCAAAAAATAGTGGAATAAGAGGGGTTACTCAAAAAAGAGCTATTGCAGTTATGCAAACAACATTTACCAACATTTAAAAAGTTTAGTGTAGATGAAGTAGCAAAAAAACATTGCAGTTACCACCTTATCACTGTGAACTTAATCCCATTTAATTAATCTAGGCTGAAATGAAAGAATATGTCGCGAGAAACAATACATCTTCAAGATGTTCATCAACTATTATGTGATTCCATATCAAATATTTCACCGGACAATTGGCAAAAGGCTATAAGACATGTCATAGCAGAGGAAGAGAAATACTGGAAACTTGATATGTTAATAGAGGAAACAATAGAACCAATTATTATTACTGTGGGAAGTGAAAAAACTGATAATGATGACTTATAGGGAGAAAACGACTTATTTATTTAGGTATGTAACTTTATATTTATATTAATTATAATAAGATTATATGACGTGTTACGGGTTTTATTCTATCTAAACCTAAACTAGTCTAAATTACCCTATTTTACACTACTCTAAACTATTCTAACCTATCCTATTTCCTAGCCTACCCTATTTTCAATTATTCTAAACTTACACTACTCTAAACTAGGGTTTTCTATTCTAAACTATCCTAAACTAATCTCAATTATTCTAACTTATTCTAATGTCTATCCTACCCTATCCTAAATTAGTCTAATCTATTATACCTATTCTTATTACTATTCTACACTTAACTATTTACACTATTCTACTTCTAATCTATTCTATGCTTAACTATGTACACTATTCTACTTCTATTTGATTCTAACTTACCCTAAGCTACTCTAATTACTAAACTACTCTATTACTTACCTATTCTACTATAACCTATGCTAATCTCTTTAGTTACCTTTAGATTTAAGAGTGTGCGGTATATAACTGTATATAAATCAATAAAATAGGTCCATTAAATAAATTCATAAAATATCCATTTTTATCAAACATATTTTGTAGTAAAATATAAGATAATATTTTGTAATAAAGTATAATCTCACCTGGAGTATATTCAATTATAATTAATACCTTAATAAATAATTTAAAATGTAAGTAAATATATTTCGCTACTTTGAACAATAACTCTAGCTCATTTAATTACTAAAAGGCTTTATTTTTATTGTTATTGTTTACATGTCGATTTTAACTCCTTCAGTTGTCAAATTCTTCTAAATTTATAAATATTGACCACAGTCTTACCAGAAATTATCCTATTACCCTTTTGTAGTCAGGGCCTTCTTGCTAAGACATTGACTTTTGTTGGCCATTTTGTGGAACTTCCTTCCTGGCCCAGTTTTTGCTTGGATTCTGATTGTGGCATGTGCCAAGATTTCAGCTAGGATTTTCTAGGATTTATTCTTGAGCAAAAACCATAGATTCCTTTAGTCCGATATATTGTTAGTGATCTTTGTGATTCATACACTTAGTGGTGGTTATAGTATCGGGCTAAAAGTGTGAATTTAATAAATTAATAATCTAAAAGGTCACATACCATCAAGGGTGAGTTTTTCAAAATTAATTATTAGTTCACTTACCTATATTCCCAACAGCCTTCTGTATACATAATCGTTACAATCGTCAATGTTTTTCAGACCGCCTTGGTTCGCTCCTTTCGTTCGTGCGTTCCTTCCTTCGCTCGTTCAGATTTGCAATTCTGTATAAACGCTTTTATTAGAGGAATACTCTAAGGACTGTGTGCAAGTTCTCTCCACCTCTCCATATTGAATAGGGCTTCTCCACTTCGCCGTTTGCGTGCTAGCAACAGAGTACAGACAATTGGATAACCCCACCGAATACGAAGTCATTTTCATAGCAGTCTACTACCTACCGATTTCAAGAGGAAGCTGCCTAACTGAACATCGTGCTTCGTTGAGTTCACTTAATCACCACAAGTAAGACGGTTCCTTTTTTAACCCTATATTTCGGAGGGCCCCCATCTACTAACGAGGTTAGGTTGTTTGAGACTCAGCCTACAACAAACATAGAGTTAAATACTTGGTTAAATAGACTTAATTTCTTTTGTATTTATACATATTTTATTGTAATATCCACCTACCGGTTTTTCTTTTCTTTTGTAATACGAAGAGTACTCTACGTAAACCGCACTTTGACCACCCACTTGGAGGGTTATATATTATAAGGGTATGCACTAGTTCAGTGATGATGTAATTATGGTTCCACTGACAATTAAACTGACAGTAGCTTTTTTGAGTGCGTTTTGTTCGTTTTGTTTACCTAAATTATATCGTTTCTTTAATTTTATAAATATATTCCTAAAGTAAGTAGATAACATTCATCAAATATACAATCTTTTAGTTACCAATTACATACCTTTAAACTATTTTTTATGACATGTAAACAATATTTAGAAATAAACTAAAAACAGTAAAAAGGTATATGTCAAATTTATTGATGTTTTTGTTAAAAGTTTGGTTAGAATTAAATGTCAGTGGAACCAAAATGACATCACACCGAACTAGCGCATTTAATTTAGAGGTAAGAATAGTTGTGGAAACCGCCTTGTACATAATAATTTTCTTTCTTTCCTATTAGTAGACATTTCGTATAAATATAATTTGTTGGTTATAATTTTAATTTTGACAACGATCGAGGTTATAAAATAATAAAGGCCCGTTCACATTCTATCAATCAAACAAGTTCTTTTTTCGTCTTTTTATTTACAGAAACCCAACCCCTGAGGTTACTAGTCAACCTGATGAGGGGAGTTCGGTAATTTGAACCCCTTTATCAGGACAGGCTACCCGTAATAGACGCCATTACCTGAAATACAAACAAACAAATTTATATGGAATCATCCTGTATTTCTAAAAACGCAATATATAGAGTTTTATGAGAAAAGACACTTTGAATATTAAAACGAAGATGACCTATCATAGATCAAAAACAAAAGTTTAAAATAGAATTTTATTGTCTTGCTCTAGATACAGCTCTAAATGCTTTGGAGCAAAGATTTTAACCTCTGGAAGATCACTCAAAAAATTTTCATTTTTTTATGAAATTCACAACTTAAAGCAAGTACCCTAAAAGCCAGATAATAGCATACTGCAAAAAAATTGAGAACGTCTTAACTGACCAAGTGATGTAAATGGCTTAGAGTTAGCTGACGAACTGGTCATTGTATCTTCTCGTTTAAACAAAAAAAAAAAACTAAAGAAGTACTTCAATTTATAACAAAATTGAATTTTGCTCCCAATGTAAATATAACCATCCGGATCCTTTTAAAGTTTCCAGTACTGTCGCTACCGGAGAAAGAAGTTTCTCAAAATTGAAACGGACCAAGACTTGCCTACGTACCAGTCGTACCACAATCACACAAAATCGACTTTGTGGTCCTGCTATTATTCCAATAAAACACGAGATATGTGAGAAAACCAAGACAGTTTGCTGAAATTATAGTGATGATCACTACACCTGAAACCACAAATAAATAGAACACAGGCATTTTATATCCTTTGTAATCTTTGCTGGTCGCGTTTTAGGAGGCAAGGTCCATATACAGGGTGTATCTAAATAACACCGAAACAATTAAAGGGGTGATTCTGTGATGAAAATTAATGTGAGTGTTTGGTATAAAATTTTTTGAAAAAACCCTCCCCGGAAAAGTTACACCCCTTCGAAAATTAAAAAAAAAAATGGTTTTTATTTTTTATTTTCCCTGTATATTGAGCTAAAGACACGAAACTTGGTAAACATTATCTGTCAATAAAAGTACACTTTTTGAAATTTTTTCA